GTTAATCACTATAATAATATATATTATAAATATATAAATAAATATATACTATAATAGTGTTAATCACTATAAACTTACTAAAACTTACTGGAATATGATGAGTGGAAAACTACTGCATGAGGTGATGCCTGTGTTCCTGTTTCCTTGTGCTCGTGGCAGCGTTAGTTTCCCAACAGGAGTCACGCAAGGCTGAAGACTGTGGGCGGGTGAGTTGATGGGTGCAGGCAGACACTGCTGAGCTGTAAAACATTTGTGAATAAGAAGAGAAAGTGAAACAGTGCCTATGGACTCCGAAGTCCTCATTTCCCCTCTACATACCTATTTCAATTGGGTTAACATAGCAACATAACAGTCTGCCTAGACCTTACATGATACAGGATTCAGTAGTTTACAGTTTGGCTATGTTGTCCAGAAACAGGACATTAATTAACAGTTTGTAGATCTCCTTGTGTGCCAAACAGATGTATTGGATAAACCGAAGACTTTGCTCACAAAACTTTTCTCGAGATAACTTCATAGCTCCCAGGACAGAGAAACATGCTCTTATTTAGTATGCACTATAGTGATGAACAATATGAATATTGCTGGAGTGAATAATTAAGTAATCTGTGGAGACAGACCATCTGCATGCACCTGATTGTTCAAGCAGAAAGGTGTCTTGATTTAACATTAGCCCTGTTGCATTAATCATTGTAAGTAAATACGTGTAAGATAAATTACTTGGTTCACAAAGAATAACAGCAAGAATGATTCACAGGCCATGACATCAAGCAGAGGGCTGAACCGAGGCAAGAAGATCCATGCCTTGTCACAGCAGGTGATGGGAACAAGTAGTCAAAATATTTGAGTAATTCAATTTAAGCCAGTGCAGGAATGTTGTGCATGGCCAGTTGCTGCTCTGGAATTACAGCGATGTGCATGGCTATGAGGCTCCACGCAGCCCTTTCTCTGCATTCGTACAAGCTGTGAGCTCGCCTTTCCTCCTCAATTACCTTCATACTTTGACTTTCCTGTCTGCCTGTTGCACAGAGGGTGAGAGGAGCTGGCCTGACTCTAGAGCTGTTTTTTTCTTTGCTCAGCTTTCTGTGACCAAGCTGGAACCAATAAAGCACATGTGAGTGTGACTGGTAGCCAGGCATTTCTCTTTATGGATGTGGAGGCATGCCTCGGTACCTTTGTACAATGTCATGGAGCTTATGCAGAGTCTTCGTGGCTTAAACTTATCTTGATGTCAGCTGCCCCAGAGGAAGGAAAAAAAATCAGACACATCTCCGGCTCTGCCTGTTATACTGCACAGTTATGAAAGGGACCTTGGGAATATTCATTTGCAGTAGGTGACTGCACATGAGTAAGAAAGTTGTTCAGAAATCTTTGTCCTAATTCTTTAGCTTGAGCTGTGGTGCGGGCTCTGAGCAGCTTCTGCAGTGAGTGCAGGGTACAGGCTGCTACAGAAACGCTGGCATCCACCAAAATTAGCCCATGGGAATCCCAACAAGGGTTTGCCAAGAAGGTGTGTGGTGCCCACAAAGTAACAGTACCTGTATCTCTCTGCTATCTAGATGGGGCACTGTAAGTTCTGTTGGCTCCTGAGTGTTTTCTTCCACACACATCCCACGTGTCATGGGACCTTGGGCTTCTGCTGCTGCTACCACTTTAAGTCAGGAAAGGGGTTAGGAATTGCTGGAGGGGCTCAGGACAAGTAGCTTCTGGACACAACTTTGCAGGTAAATGAAGTTTAAAGACCCGCTGTCTCTAAAGATTTACCATGGTAAATGTAAGTTGAGTGAGTCTCCCTCATGATCATAGCTATGCATCACCCTAGCAGCAGTGCTTACTACTTCTTTCGGGGCATCTGTTTTGGATGAAGATGACCTATGAAATGCAGGCTGAGTAACAGCAGTGGTAACAGGAGTGTCTGTACAGGTCGGTTTGGCGAAGAAAACATACAGAAAAGGATCAAAAATACAGACAACCTGGAGGCTTGTGGGTAAACGGGTGCTGGAAGATCTTGTGGTTGCAAGTCATTTTATGCCTGTGCCCAAAAAATCTACTCTTTGCTTTTGTAATGAGTCGTCAGGCTAACAGAGCAGTAGGAACTGATAGGGAGTTGTATCAAGAAACTCAGCAGGCAATGAACACCAGAACAGACAAAATGGCCACTACTTTTGTTATAAGTAATTTCCTCTTTATGGCTGGCATTCGTTTAAAAAATAATGAAAGAGTAGCTTTTACCCTTTGTGCTGCATTATCTAAGTTCACTAGCGACAAATGAAGAGATAAGGGCTAGGCAAGCATATTGCAAGGAGTCTGCCAGAGCGCAGCAGGGGAAAGCACTAAAACTGACAGACAATAAGGCGATTCACATTGCACTTTTTGTCATTCCAAGTGCCATCAGTGTACATCTCCACACATTCCTCTTCCCCTTTGCCGGAAGGTTCATTGGAATGCCAGTTGGTATAGTTCAGCTTTGTACCATCCAGGAACTGGAATCTGCTCGGAATGAAAGATTCCTTTATGCCCAGGTAGGCGTAGGTATTAAAACTTTTCACAAAGTGCAGAATGGCATCGTTCTCGCTCGGGTTCCTTGGAGTGGCAATAGACCCTCCAGCCTCTTTGCATTGTTTCACTGTAGTACGGAAATCAGCTCTTTTCCCATTGCTAGCAAATACTTTTCCTCCAGATACTGTGATCATCTTTTCCAAGCTGAGGACTGCAAGATGAGGTGAAAGCTGTTAATCTTTCATTTTTAAAAGTTTAGATTAAACTCAGTAAAAATTAAAGGAGATAAAAACCTGAAATAAAAGATTAAAAAAAAGAAAGAAGAAAAAAAGACAACTCCCAAAAGCCAGAAGTAACCTGAAAAGATGAGGGGAGAAGAAAAAGGCAAGAAACACATGAATATATAGACAGTGAAATAGGAGAAGCAGAAAAGAGGATGGAGAAGGAGGGAAGGAAATTAGGAATTCTATATTTGAAAAAAGTATATTTTTTTTTCTTTGAGACTCTTTAGAAGCTCTCTGAGATGGTTTGCATGAGGGAGTAGGATCTTCGATGTGATCTGGCTGTGATTGGTTTTGGTACATTTTTGGTATTCAGTTTATTTGTCTGTTAAGAGCATGAAGTGTCCATGGGGCACTTCTGCAAGGCAGGGATTTTAATCTGATAAATTTCTGACTTGCTTGCACCCATACTTTACAGCTGTTACCGAGGTGGCTCCCACCAGTCTTGAAAAATTATTGCTGTGCCCCTCTCCCCATTTTTGAGTTATCACTTTCTTCTCTACGTGTGAACAAAATACAAATGGAATGCAATAAAACTGTAGAAAATTCTCCCTTTTTTACTAAGAAGCTCTTTTGTTGCTCATCTTGTTTATGCCCACTATCCAGCTACAGCAGAAAGTAAAGGCAGATAAATTACCTCCTTCAAGTCTGGAAATCCGATGTTCTAATTGAGGGATAATGTTTTCCATTTCATTATAAACCTGTAGAACATCTATGAATAAAACCAGCTATTATTCACATTACAGTTTGAATCTTCGTTTTCAAAATAAAGCAGAGCTAATAATTTGAAATTAATATGAACTTCTAAAATGTTTGTTTGACCTGTTTCAGTTTACTGCTGTGTTTTAAATAGGGGATCTTTTCACATATTGATCTTTGTAAGGGTAGGAAACATACCACGGAAGCTACCTGCTAGGCAGTGATGTTTACAGAAAATTTGCATTAGCAAACTGACTTAGACTTCACTCTACAAGTGATTGAGCTAGTCCAGGCAAAACACTGGCACTTCTGCAGTAGGTGTTGTTGATTTTTAACTCTGTCTAGGGATTGTTGACAGAATCCTTCAGGCTGTTCAAGCACTTGCTTGCAGCTCCAACCTAACACTTAGCAACAAGGTTCTTGTGCCCAGTGTTATGGAAAATGATATTCCTTTTCTCTGTGAATTGAACTACTGTGTCATTAAGTAGGAGAGATTTAAGCATCTTGCTTCATACAATGAATTAACAAAAATCTTAATTTTCTAGCAAGTAGAACTCACACCAGCCTACACAAGATAGCACTGAATCTACAAAGGATAAAAATAGAACACAACAGTACACCTAGATAAAAATGGACACGGTAACTGCCTGTACCTGGCAAAAGTTCTTCATCCATCCCATTACCAAGCAGTGCAGGAATTTCTGCAGGTTTACCTCGAGCACAGCATGGGAGCAGGAAAAAAGCTATTCCTAAGATTTTGTGGAACAACTGTGGAGATAGCATTGTTGCAAGCCAAATGTAAACCAGACTGTTTTGCTCTCCAGTGTAGGGTCCTACATTTAAAACAAAACAAAACAACAAAGCAGTGTTATAGAATTTTGCTGTCGGGGTTTGAAGTTTTATGTACATAAGCTTTGCCCTCAGCAACATGAGTATCATTGATGTAGTTCCAAAGTTAGGTTATTTCAAATGATTAAAATATGTTTTCACAAGACTCAGTCTGCAAGAATCTACAGGGGAAAAAAAACACGTAAAACATCCCCTTCAAATCTCATTTTTGTACAGCAGATACAATTGCATGCTATTTTTCCCATGCAAAAAGCTATAGTTTCTGTCTTAATTTTACAGTGAAGCAAGACACATCTGCTTGAGTAAGAGAAAGCCAGGTTAAGATAAACTGGGACATGCTGTCTTTATCAATTGGTTCAAGAGCAAAACGTTTGTTAATGCTTATACTTCTGTTACAGCATCCATCTTTCAAAGTATCTTCACCTCAGATGATATTCTCTGTAAAAGCAGGTGAAAGATTTAAGAAAAATATTGAGACACAAAGAAAAAAAATCTAAATTAGGAAGGTTTGTGGTACAGTTTAATAGGATTAAACATAAGTTAAACAGAAACCTGTTTAAAGATATTCAACTTACCTAGCAGCTCCAATGTGAAATAAGAAAGGCTCGTGAAATGGTCTAATTTATAGGGCATGTAACTTAAGATTCATCTTGTTCCCTACAGGAAATACAAAGAGCATGTAATATGATATGAATTTGCATATGGATAGAAATGTAATGAACTTTAACTTGAATGATAGGGGGGTTTATTTTCTTCAAGAGGTAAACACACTTAAAATGCAAGGAAAATATTTGAGGGTACTTTCTTGATTTGTAGAAGTGCTTTCATACATCTAAAAAATCCCCAACCTTCAAGCAGAACAAAGCAATTTCTCAATACGTATTTGAAATTCCTAATGTTTCTACAGAACAGCTGTGTAAATGTTAAATTGTAAATATCACTGAAGACAAGCTCAGTGAGTAACAAGTTTACCTGAAATATATGCACCAGGAACACCAGTTTCATTAAAGACTGAGGACTTGTCAGTGGTAATTTCTAAAATCTTGTAACTAAACAGAATCTCACAATTGTAGCAGCAAAGCCAATAGACAATGGTACATCTGCAGCAGATGTGGAGCTAACAGCCACAGAAGCACAGACTTAAATAACTTAGAGAATTACTCCAGGCAAAGTTTATATAATATAAATAATAGCAATATTATCCAACAGAACAGTGACTTTTCAGCGAAGGAAAAAGCTGCTCTAACCCAGGACTGTAAGTGCAGAGGCCTCAAGACAGAGAACATTGCTGAAATGCAAATGGGTTGCCATACATTTTTAAATTAATCTCATCTAAGAGTTGTTTCTATCTAATAGAGACTTTCAGGAAATAATTTTGAGGCTGTGCTCCTGTTTGAACAAGCAAGATGCAGCCACATCATCCTTGTGGTGTCAGGACAGCATCCTGGTACGGCAGCAAGACTCACAGCTAAGGAATGGGTGCTCTGAGGTTAGATGGGCAATGTGAGCAATATTGGTCTAAGATGCTCCTAGAACTAAGCAAGCCCAGATCACCTCCACAGGCACTCTGCACCCAGACCCTGCACGCACGCTCACACTTTCCTCAACAAGGGATGTAGAGGCCTTTGTCATTGGTGTTGAAGCCTGGCTGATTCCTGCAGTACTGTTTACTGAGTGCCCTGGAAAAGGCACCAGTTCTGTGAAAAATAAATAAGCAGTACCCAGTTGTATGCACCTTGACAGAAGAGGGCCATTTCAAATTTGTATAACTAGCCTTTGTTTGAAGTTTCTTGTTAAATTTCAAGTTTCTTAGCTTTTGAGTGTTTCACAATGCTTTTGGCTGAGGTTTTCTAATTCTTTTATGGAAAGAATTCGAACAACAAAGAACATGAGACAAGCCATTACCTGGGGCCCAGATAAGCCCTAGAAAAGGTCACGGGTGGAACCTGGGCCTTTGTATCTGCGGCAAGAACAACTTCAGCCACATCTGGAAGAAACTGCAGGTTAGGCAAGTGTGAGAGGAGGATCAGGCTTGGCCTCCATCAGTGGGTTTCACACCCTGGCTGGGAAACGTGGAGGAAGATAGAAATTTTCTTGTGTGATAGACTCCTGAGACTAACTGATGTAGATCTGGTAAATTCTAAACTACTTCTCTTGATTTTCATCAGCTCATTGATGAGATGGTGCAAGCTAAAACATCTTTAAAAATACTTGAATTTTGACTACACTTGTTTATAATCAGCTAATAGAATTTTCTGTAGAACTAACATAACTTGAAAACTATTTTCTGATCTTGCTTTGAGCTGCATATTACAGAAGCTTGGCAAGATTCAAGGATACAGATCTGATAAAGGGAGCAAACAATTTTTCAGTACTGAGGCAATTGGTTTTCTGCTTTTCCACATCTAACCCATTAAGAGGCTTTACAATTTCAGTGCTAGTGAAGCAAATGAAGGATATTCTGAGAGTAGGTTGTGTTGCACAATGTAGGTAGGTAAATGCAAAAGATGCTAAGGAGAAAAGTTTGTCAACACTGCTTTCTTAGCTGCTTCAAGAAATAAAGACACTACAATGGAATTTCACTTCATGAAATCGGGTGTGTGTTCCTTCCATGAGCCTCTGTTAGCCTTTCATTTATATACTTAACCCCCTGGAAGTTATTTTCTTTCCCTTCATTGTGCTAATCACACCTTAGAGAATCTGGAAAATTCTTTCCTTATTCTCTCGGTTTGTATTTAAATGGCCCAAACCCCACTTCTTTTTTCTGTTTACATTGATTTTGTGCTATTCTGTTATTGTTTCCATCCTACCTTGCCACCACCTTGTCTTGTGCTTTCTGCATTTCCTTTTCTCTTAAAAATCATGGCCAGACTGTCCCCAGCAGCTCCCTTATGCCTGGGAATATTGGGAAGAGCACAGAACACGCAGGACCCTCTGAGGAGGGTTGAGGCTATTCTTGCTGAGCTTTAAAAACAGGAAGAAGAGATTTCAGCAAGATATAGACACCAGAGATGGCAAAGTTGATGGCAAAGTTCAACATGGTTTTTTTTTTTTTTTCCCCGTTGAGCAGCATTTTAGAGCAGAAAGTCTTAATTTTACCTGTAGACAGTGATCAGTGCTCGTAGATACTCCTGTGACTGAAGTTATGTGAAGGTCACTAGATGTCTCCAACAAGTCACTTGATGCAGCTCAGCTGAAAAACACAGAAATAGAGTTTTGTGCTTATAACAAATAGCAAAATAATATCTCATCTCTTCAATAGTTGTTAACAGCAAAATACAGCTTTTTAATGGGAGAGAAAAAAACGCTCATGGTTATGAACCAGATGAAATTATACGTATTCTGCAGTTGTTCTCCAACATCTGTAGAAGGTTAAATTGTTTGTTATGGTCTTTACTACCACAATTACCATTGCTGCAGCCTCCTCAAAGGTTAAGGTACCCTCGCTTTATGGTTCTTTTTGACTCATGAGCCACAAGGGCACAGATGGGTTAAAGTTTCGCTCCAGGTTTCACCTAGCACCACACCTGGTGCCAAACCCTGGCTTCCTAACAGGGACTTCCAAACAAATCTTAATCCCCTTATTTTTAAAGGTGCTACTATAATTTCCAAGCATCCTGTACTGATCGTGCTTTAAACCCAGGTATGTTTGCATAACTGTTGGCTAATACGATTTTATAACCGTACATTTCAACTTCTGATAATGAAAATCACTTGCAATCTGATGCTCTCTGAGGTCCAGCCAAACACGTCTGTTACACCATTACACAACACATCCAAGAACATTGTTTTCTTCTGCTTCATAAGAGTTGTAATAGGGCCATCAGTCTTTCTGTCATTTCTTGGTGTGATTTTAAAACCAGCCAATGACTTACCTGGTGGTAAATATTTCTTCTCCTGTTTGCACTTATTGTTCTTCTAAAGAAAAGCTGCAAATGCAAAATGTATGATTCATCTTTACCCTAACTTTTTATTTGCAGCACTGCTAGGGTACTGTGGCTGTGAGTGCCAGCATTGTTCCACCATCTAGGTACTTTTGTCTGAAAGGAACAGAGGAACGATATCATTATTCTTTTTTATATTTGCTTCAAAATTTTTTAAAAAATTAAATAAAGGAGGAACCGGTCACAATTTACACAGGACAAAGTAGTGCTGCCAGCCTGTGTCACACCCTGCCAGTTACTATGTTCACGTAAGGTTGAATTTGAACACAATTTTCCCAAGAACCATGGAGCTTTTGTTTTGTTTGTTTTTTAAATAAAATTTCCACAAAATCAGGAAGCCACAGAAAAATACTAATTTACTGTAATTTGAGGTAAATCTCTTCATGTGTGGTAGGGATTGATGGGGTCAGCGTATTTTGAAGGCTTAAAATTGCTAAAAGTAGTTCTAAACTAAAACACCTAATTAAATAATACAACCATAAAAGAGGATATTGCTCTAGACCAGAGAGGACTCGATATCCATCATTTTTACGGCCATACAAAACTCTCACTGTTAAATCTACTGTCATAACAATTGTTTTAAATTTCTCCTATATGATATGCAATCCATTTGCTATAGAAGGGAATGAATTTTTGTGACATTTTATCTTGTACATAGATTTTAAATCTCAAAAGTTGCTTTTATAGCATTTGGGAAGTGAACTCGTTATTTTCTGTATTAAAGATCTTACTGTTTATCTGTAGCAAATTATAATAAATTAAGGAAAAAAAGACTAACCTGTCTTTTTTCCTGGTCAGGTCATTATGCACTAGGGATTATTTTTGTTTGCTGTCTTTTTAAGAAAATAACTTTATCAAAATTATTTATCCCACAGTAATAAAACAGAGTAACAATTTATTCTGTTTCTTCTTGTGCCTGAACTCTCTGTCCATTTAAAAAAAATCCATTAATATATAAATGCAGAATTTGGATCTTCCATAAAAAGCACACTGAAATGCTTGTAAGTGTTTTAAAAGGTGGTTGAGGGTTTAAATTGTTAAAGTTATACACACACACACACAGCGCCATATAAAAGAACAAAATAAAATTTTCTGAACAGTTTTCTGTTCCTCTGTGGAACTGCAAAAATTAATCAAGTAACGTTCTACTGAATATGTACCTTCACCATGATTTTAGTCACCATATATGAATCCCACGAGAAACAAATGCATTCCAAGCCTGTCTGTAGAATATTGGTTTATTAGCGAATTTTATTTCTTTCACATATTATGGTTGACAGTAGTCTTTTTTTTTTTTTTTCTTCTCTCTAACTTTCAGCAAAGTTAGGAAATAAAAGTCCAGGGAAAAGAAGGCAGGAAACTGGCAGATGTCCCCTTGATATCTTCAGTTTTGTATTCAAGGCACAGTCAAAACTTTGGATACAGAACAAGGAGGGCTGCTTCAGAACTGTATAAGGGGAACACAAGAGAAGTTGTGTGTGTATGATGTTATATGGAGATATTTTATGAAAATAACTGAGGGGTTTCATTCAATTACCTGAAATGTAACAGAACTCAGTGTGAACCATAGAGGGGAAAGTGCTATCTAGCAGTTCTTTGACCAGATCTGAGGAGTTTTTATTTTTAAGCAGCATGTGTATGATTTTTGGGGTTTTTTTTTTTTGTTCATTTTGTTGTGGTTTTTTTTTCCTAACAGTAATGGCTTAAGCAGAAAGAAATTGGACTCTGAGACTTACCCCAGATGCTTTTTTATTGATGTAATAAAAATTAGATTTTGACTGAAAAAAACCCTTACTTTTCTTAACTGCATCCAAGCGTCTTGAAGTCTAATTCTGTTTAGCAATAGATGATATATTGCATTAAGCCATTTGTAAGATTTTGCACATTAAGAATTTTACTAAGAAATTTTTATAGTCATTTGGTAAATAAAAATGTGGGGAAAATAAATTCTTGATTAAGTAAAGGAGTAGGATACTCCAAACCTGGTTGGAGATCTGTATGAATATGTAGGTTGTCAAGCAGTGAAACAGGCTGCCCAGAGAAGTGGTGGAGTCGCTGGAGGTATTTAAAGAGCAGGTAGATGTGGTGCTTAGGGACATGGTTTAGTGGTGGGACCTGGCATTGCTATGTTAATGGTTGGAATCCGTCTTAAAGGTCTTTCCCAGCCTGAACTATTCTGTGTGAATTTGATTCAGATAATAAAGAATCATGTTAGTAGAGTGATTTTTTTTCTTCTTTTTCCAACATGATGCCTTTCAATGCCAAGTAGTCATCTTGCTCCGGTACTGAATCTGTATGGCTGAAAGCCTCAAAAATTGCTAACAAGGTGTACTCGTTAAAATAATTAAAATGCAAGGAGTGGATGCTGTTTTAAGTAAACCTTCAACTCTTTTCGAAGATTTTGTACAGCTGGTCAGAGCTAAGCCTAGGAAAATTAAAATGCATTAGTTTAGCTTTACCTTTTCTCAAAGAAACCCAAGGGTTGGAATTTTTGTAATCTATTCCTTTCCCACTTGAAATTTTTGGCCAAAATGGTATCACAGTCATAGGTCTCAAAGGAACCTATTTTGTAATGCAGGTTCACACTTTGAAATCTATCCAACAAGGTACTGGGTGTATTTTTCTCATTTCAAAGTCCCTGTCCGCTCTCAGGTCAGCTGGAGTGCTGTATGCAATGCTGGGCATGAGTCCTCTGCTCCCAAGAGCGTCCGTTTTATCTCCTGCATCTGAAGACATTGAAGCTTTCTGAGTCTAAAGGACATGAAATGACCATGAGAACAGAGCTCATCCCTTCCTCAGTGCAGGCTAAGGACAAGGGACAACACGGCTCAGCCAAGTCCAGGTTCCTATGGGCTCCCTGCACAGAGCTAAATGTTGGGGAGGAGGAGGAGAAGATGAAGTAGAAGTGTTTATGCATGTCTTTTAACTCCAGTGCTTGCTTTTTTTTCCCCCCACAGGTGATGTGAACATAATAATGGATGAGGCCAGGACTTCCTCCCTGCAAGATAAAAGTGTGAGAATTTGCTGCTACTGGTGGTACTTCACTGAGCTCCCTCTGCTCTCCAGCTACTCTAACTGAGTAGTGGTGAAAATATTTTGTGGAAAGATGCTTCTTGATCCTATCGGATTTGCATCACGGTCTGACTGTGCGGTTGCCTGGCATGACATCAGCAAAGAGATAACTTTTGAACTAACTGAACTTTCAATCTTACCTGCTCCCTCGAAATAGTTTATGCTTGCTCAGTGGGTTGGGAGAAGACAGGTGGCCTTCCAACACTGCGATAGTCATAGCTTTATGGGGAAATGTGAAGTTTTAGCAACAAAATGCAATCTTTAGTATTTTATACACATAAAAAAAAAGCTACTCTCTATGTAACACTAAGAAGATTAACTGTAACTGGTATTGTTAAGGTTTTTATAAAACCAGTGCTAAGTATGGCTGCTGAATGAATCAGTGCATGCTTCAATATGACAATACAAGCCCTATAATTCAGAGAGATGTACAAAACTTGAGACCATAATTGCTCCAGTGAAGTGCATCTCTTTTAAGGCAGGAACTATAAAATACTTCCACTGTGAAGCCATGAGCAATTTTGAATTCAGGCTTTTCCAACACCCTAAGTCAAACCTTGGAATTTTCCTCTAATCTTAACAAAGGCACAGAGACACCCTGCCATGAAAAATTAATCCTGAGCTACTCACAACCCTCCAAAAGAGAGAAACACGTCAGACTAGGCACATTTAAATCAATTTAATCACCTACTACATCTGGCATTTTAAGGATCAAAAAACACCATAATATGATTAATTTTGGATTTTCTGACATAGAATAACTGCAGAATTCGCATAGACCTGAAACATAGTATATTTCATCATTTCCATATTCTGAGGTGACTGAAAGGACATTCTTTAAAATTCACAGATCGTCAGGCGATACAGATTGCATTTTTTGTCACTCCAGCTCCCGTCAGTGTACATCTCTACACATTTTTCTGTCCCTTTGCCATTAGGCTCGTGTGAGCGCCACTTGGTGTAGCGCAGATTCCCCCCTCTTAGGCACTTAAATTGACCTGAAGTCTCGCTTTCTTTAATGCCCAGGTAAGCATATCGGTTATACTCTTTCGCAATGCCCAAAATAGCTTTATTCTCCTCCTCATTTGTGGGAGTTGCAAGAGTTCCTCCAGCCTCTTCACAGAATTTTAGTGCAGATGCAAAGTCAACATTCTTCCCATTGCTAGCAAATATTTTGTTGCCTACTTGTCTCATTTTCCCATTCAAAAAAAGCACTAAAACATGAAAAGAAAAAAGACTAGTTAGCTTATTTTGTTTCCTATGTCATATTGATGAGAAAGCAAAGAATAATTAGGAGATGAACAGAAAACTAAAAGTGGTAAGAAGAACAGGGGAGGGAATAGAGTGCAAGAATGAGAGTAAAGGGGATGAAGAGGAACAAAGATCTTCAAAATTTTATCAATTCATTAGTTGTTCACTAAGTATACTGCCATGCTTCTTGTGACCCCTTGGTCCTTGTCTTCTTCAAGACAAGGATGCCTCACAACATACACTATCAGTCCTCTCTAAAGAGGATCAGTTTGCATCAAATTTGAGCACATGAAACAGAGAAATGATTTTTTTTTTGTTAATTCCTTCTCAGTACAAAGTAATCTACCATTTTCAACAGTCTCGATGATGGATAAAAACGCTAGCAATGTGGTACAACACTGAGGAGTTCCCACGAATCCATATGGAAAACACAACATCAGTTGGAATATATATATTTTTTTAAATAAATCAGAGTCAAATTACTGCACATGAGTGTTTCTGAGAGAAATCTGCCTCCCTCTCCCAGAAAAATGAGTCCTGATCTCCCTTGCTCTTAATAAGAAAATGCAGTTTTGGGATGTAGTACTATATTCAAGTGTGATTTCTTTTCTGCAGCTGCTGATTCTATAATTAATTTTGCTGATTGCATTTAAAACTGATTGTGAGCTGAAAAGGTAAAAATGGGAAAATTTACCGCCTTCAAGTCTGGAAATTCGATGTTTCAAATTTACTAATACATTCCAGAGTTCAGTGTTCAGAGAAACAGATGGACCTACACAGACAAAAAAAAAGTTACATAATTAAACAAAACTGGGCTCTGCTGGTGGTACTTCACTGAGCTCCCTCAAACTGAGTAGTGGTGAAAATATTTTGTGGAAAGATGCTTCTTGATCCTATCGGATTTGTGTCACAGTCTGACTGTGCAGTTGCCTGGCATGACATCAGCAAAGAGATAACTTTTGAACTAACTGAACTTTCGATCTTACCCGCTCCCTCAAAATAGTACATGGTAACATGTACAAGATAAAACTAGTACATGATAAAACTAACAATTTTCCAAAACTAACTAGCACACAATGTATTTTTTTAACATCCTCTGGCATAAAATAAATGTTTTCCCAGTATTTTTTTGCACTGTTGTTAACATGTATTAAAGCAAACAAACAAACCCCTCCAACCCTCTGAAATGATGAAAAATGCCTTCTGCATAGAAGAAAATATATTTCCCTAGGTTGCAGCCTTATGTTTGTCATGTCTGTGAAATTGGCTTTGTCAGAAAGAATTTGTTACATACTACTAATCATTAGTGAACAAGCACAAGGGAGATTTTTGGGGATGGAACGGTTCCTGTGGCACTGTATCACTTTCTTTTTAGTCTGCTGGATGGATGCTTTTTGTTTTTACACTGGGGTCTTATTTTAACAGAAACATTAAGTACTGGTATAGGAGGGTTTCTGTATAGATTGTGTGAAATACTCATCCAGCACTACTTGCTAAAATGGGAGCTCATGGTAAAGGCAGATACTGTATTTATACAAATTTCCGAAGGTCATACATGTAGAATACAGTTACTCATGTGCTCCCATGATTGTGTTCCCATTATCCACAACTAACACAAGAAGCACAAAATAATGCTGCATCTCCCTTTCTCCCAGTTGTAATATCACAACTCTTGCTGCACTTCACAGTCAGTAAAAATCAACATATTTGACCCAGTAAAGACAGTCCATTTGACTGACAGAACTTTACATAGACATCAGACTTTTTCAGATGGTGGTTCAATATTTCCTTTCTCACCTGATGGGCAAGGACAACTTTTTTTTCCAAGGTGTGCTGTCAGGCCTCCAGAAAATCCCATGAAACCTTGACAAGAGAAGTATAATTTTCTTTTCAATTGATGTATATTCTGGGAACTTCATGAAGAAGTAGAATTTAATCTCAAACAGAAATATGATACATCTATGAATAGTTTTGATAGTGCTTTAGCCTTGGTAAAAGACCTGGAGAAAACATTTATTCACAGAAAGAAAATTACACAGTGCAGTGTGGTTCTTATCAGACTCCTTTTGCACACACTACCTTTGAATACATGTCAGAAGCCTTTTAATTACACTTTTAAATATGGGAATAACATTTTTTTTTACTTAAAAAAACCCCAAAACTTCTGCTGTGAAAGAAGCAATCCCCTTTGGAAAGTCAATGGAAAAGTACTACAAAGATATATATGTGTGTGTGTATATATATATATGTTTCAGTATTGATAATCTGTTAATTTCCCCTTTTCTCCCTGAAGAGAGAGGAGGCCTGTATTTTAGGAAAAGAAATTAACCTGATCATTTCCTCCACTCAGTATTCCCTCCTCTGCTTAACGCACCTGCTTACTTGAGGGCACGTGTACTTGCTTTTATTCATGCAGCCTTCATGACAAAGATTTTTCACAAAAAGAGGGTATCTTACTTACCTGATAGACCTGCTAGACGTCCTTGCACACCAGCTTTTCCAAACAGTCCAGAGCCAGTCCCTAACTCAGAAATTCCTGTACATTTACACTGTGCATGGCAAGTCACTAACAAAGCTGCTATTGCTGTGAGTATGTAGGATGAGTAAGACAACATGATTGTTCAGGTTAGCTGTAAGAAAACCCATGTATTTGTCAGGCAATGATTCTGCAAGAAATTGTAGGCATTGAATTATACAATTGAACATTTTCTTCCTTTTCTTCTCTCTCTCTCCCCCCACCTCCCCCCATTTGTCCCTTCTTGGAATCCTTTTGTTGTTTAAACAGTGTATAGTTTAGGTATAAGAGATTTCCCAGACTTATTTTGCTACCTTTGCATAGCTTATACATAAAACTGTTTCTAGACTGATACCTATTGGTATACTCAGAATGACAGCTACGTATTTGGGAGTAGTGGAAACAAATCATCCTTTTTGCTATCAGTGGCTGTCTGTTGGATTAATCCTTGAGAAGTTATGAGCTCAGGTGTAACTCATCACAGTTAAGCCATTAGTTGTCTGTAAGGGCCATAATCACTCAAGAGAAACAAAGATGCATATGCTACCAACCTGAAAGGCACAATCTGTTACAGTGGTGCCTGGTTGTGATGGTTTGGAGCTAGTTAGGAATTTCTTTAAGCAGAGCAATATTTAAGCACAGCTATTTGAGTTAAGCAGACTGATAAAGTGTTTTACATATGGGCAAAATTTTACAGTTCAACTGATATTCCTGTGTTATTTTGAGCATAATTCCACAAGCTTGAACATGTCAGAGTTAGTCTTGTAGAAACCGCATTTTTGCTAGCTGGCAAAAGGCCTATTCGGCTTACTTTTATCCTTCCAGATACAACACTTAGTGTTTTAATCTCAGTGCCAAGATATCATGACTAAAAAGCACTCTGAAGCTCTAGATCATGGCTTTACAATGCAGCTGGTGGGTATGTAGCACTGGAAATGCTGAGCAGTTACAAAACCTGAACTGATGGACTACACAACATAATGGCGTGGAGAGAGCCAATCATTGGCATCATTCAGTCAGAATAATAAGAGTGATAAGGAAAGGTTAAAGATGCCAGAATGCATATCTCTAATGAGTTGACTCATACAAAATGAGTAACTTAATACCCATGACTTCACCTTTTGTTTGGCACGAATTGGAGACGATCACATACTACACCCTGTTATGAACTTTCATCTTTAAAAACATTCAGAATTGACTAGATCATTCTGACACATATGTTCTAAATCCAGCTGCACTTAAAGTTAAGAATAAAATCTTGGTTGGCTTGAATGACACAAGATTATTAACATCTAGGTTCATCAGCTAAAACTAGGTATTGGTTTCAAAGCATATATGCCAAGCAGAATCAAAATCTCAGAAATATGTTTATTATTATCAGCACCATTTATTAAATGGATACACTAAAACTGGACTGAGCTTTTTATTAAAAAAGTATTCTTTACATCTGCCAGACTGACTCTATCATAGAAGGCTTTTGACATTATTCTAAATCTACGTCAGTACCAAATATTTTTAAGGGTAAAGTTCACTTGATTTTCCTGGGGAATGTCTCAGCCAAATGAATTCATAAGGCAAGAATATTCAACTAATAAATTGATTTTTTTTGCTGCATGTAGAATTGCTAAGTAATAGCAGCATCTATTCCTCCTGGTCAAGAATTTCCACTTTAACAAGTGAAAATTTCAAATCCACCCAAACCCACACATGCTGTATTAAAAGTGATGTTGAGCTTTGTGGATCTGAAGTGTCTCAAGGTGTTTACCCTTTACTACACTGCAGCTTAGCAGACTCCTCTGATGATGGTGGCCAGTGACTCAGAGAGTGGATTATTAAAGTCTCTAACAGAAATCTACCTTTGGTGGGTAGGGATGTGCACATCTCTGAGATAAGGAAATGCAATTGCAACAGGTAATCTTCATCTGATGCTGATCATTCAAGGAATTACATCTGAAGAGACTGACTACTGCATCCAGTCCATAACTGGATTATGATGTAGAGTCAGAGACCTGATCAGTTATATAGCAAAACAGAAAAAACAGCTCTTCAGTTTTAATGACCTTTATCAGTCATTACAATCTGGTGTCCTTCAGGCATCTCCTCGTCTACTAAAATTGCTAATAGAAGTGAAGCAAAAAAATCCTAATGAAGGAAAATTTAATTTTAAATTGTAAATATGACTATGGCAATGAAAAGGAACAGGTTTGCCTTCTAGCTGAAGTTTCTTGTGATTTATTAAAAGGAAATTCAACTTACCCTTCTGCTTCAAAGAGAAATGAAAGAGCAGTTTGCACAAGTCCCTTTATATAGTGCTGTGTTTGTTAAATGACATTGCTGGAGTGAAGACTGGATAATGAGGGCACGAATGAGCTTTTTCAGTTTTGCTTACACACTTGTTATGCAAATATTGAGAGCAATTGTAAGGGCTGAGAAATTTCTTTTTCTTTTATAAGAACAGAAAGTCAAAGTTGGAGGAAAAACAATCTAAAACTAACAGATAACCTCAGATTTGTAAATACTTACAAAATGTACAAAAATTTAAAGAAACTTTCAGTGATTTTAAGTGATATTGTGACAATTTTCCCTTGTTTTAAAAAACAAAAGTCACATATGACCACCAATAGCTTTTATAGAAGGAAAGGGGCCCTTGTTAATAAGGGAAGCATATTAGCTTTCAGATAGTCTGACCTGGTAATCAGAATTCTAAACTTTGCCTCCCATCTCTGTATCTGATGTACTTACCTAAATATAATTTTCTAGCTGTGCGTATGCTCATTGTTTCTGGACTATCTGGTCTCTTTTGCATGTAGAGTAGAGGTGTTCTTCACCTGGGCAGAGATGGAAAAATCTGTATGTATGCACAGAAATCCCCAAATGGATAACCTTTTCAAATAAAAAAAGAAACCAGAGGCTTTGGTCCTCTGGTTCCCCAGCAATAAAGTTTGGGATCTCATAACTTCCCTCTGGTTCTGATGCATTCTACTGTAAGAACATTTATGTTTTATCCCAGGTGAGGTTTATTTTATGAACCTCAGCAAGCCAAAATGTCAGTCCCTCACCCGTAACATACAAATACCTCTGCTTCACAGCTTTGTGGATTTACACTGTGGTCTCTAAAGGATAGAATGGTGTCTGCTTTTAATTTGGCTTTTTTGTCATGATCCCTAGGTATGGTGTCTTTCAACTTAGCAGAATTCACAGCTGCAAGCTAACATCTTTAGCTTCTCGTTCAACAGATAGACATGTCTTATATCAACTGGCTGACATAGCCAAGAGAAAATACCAAAGGAAGAGGTATGTTTAGGATCCCCTTTAGAAGTCACTGAAATCCACTTCCATTCACAACTGTGAGTCTTGTCCTCCAGTTCAAAGTGCTCGGCATGGTCTGTCTTCCCTCTCTCTCTCAAAAAAAACCCAAACCAAAGCACCTGAGGAGATATCTGTGACCTTTTTGGCAAATGATCACTTAACACTCACAAATGTATGTTATAAACAATCTCTCTTCAAGTCCTTACTCTACCAGATAGGCAGAAAAGCTTCAAACACAGGTTAGTCGTTTTACAAAATCGCTAATCCCAGCAGTTGAAGAACTGATGGTAACCATATAAACTGTGGATTAGACAGGACCCAGTAGGTAAAATAACCTGTTTCTGAATCCTGCTGTGATTTGAGAATAGCACAGGTGAATAGCAGGCAATTCAGCGTAACCAATTCAGCACATGAGGAATTCTGTTTCTGAATGGTAGCAGACCTCTGGGGTACCTATGGCTCTAAGAAATTTCTGCAGTTGCAAGATAAGACAGAACTTAATGGATCCAGATTTTGGAAAGTAGTATTTTAAATGATTAGGTACCCAAGTTCTTGGGTAGATGCAGTTTCTAGGCAACCCTGCAACAGTTGTAATGGTTAACAGTGTTCTGTTGTATCACTGCCCCTACAAGCATAGCTTTAATACGTGAACAACATGGTAAGTCTTTGCACTATTTCTTCTACCTAGCATAGTCTATACTAAATAAATAAATAAATAAATAATTGGAAACATTAATCAGGGAAGTCAGTAAAGCCCCAACAGCTACACACTTATCTCTGTCCATTCAAGAAAGTGTGACATGAACAAGACATGGCTTATAATGACTTAAGATGTAGAAAGACTTTATAAACTATTATCTTTCATCAAAACTTTCAAAGGAACATACATTTGATAACAATTCTTCTCCCATGAGTCAGGCTTTACTTAAACAATGGAAGCTGATAAGAAATCTAAAACATAATCCAACATGAGAGATTACTTAGTCATTAGATTTACTTTCCTTAGCTGTGTGGCAAAGAATTAAGAAAATAAATATCATAGAATAAGGAAGAAAGTAAGTAAATATTTTTTCTGCAAACTGGCACTTCTGTAGAATAGCTACGAGGCTCGGTATTTTGTAATTTACAGGTAAGCCTGTGTGGTAATGGCTGAAGATCTTCAGCTGTTTAACACCCACAAAACCCAGCCAGGGAACTCTAATGGTTTTGGTGGGCCCCGGATGCTGCATCCTCCTTTCTGTCGTTAAGTAGAACAATAAAATTCCTTCTGATGTCCCCTAATGCATTAAACATGCCTCGTTGTTAATGCCCACAAATTAAACCTAAACCACAAAAAGACCTGCTCAACTATTAGCAAAGAGTAACTCAGGGAAAAAAAATAAGAAAAAAAGATAATCTGATTTTCAAAGACACTGTGCACCCAGATAGACTGCTTCTCTATAAAGCAGCCATGCACGCTGCCATCAAAAAAGTAATTTGAAAACTAATAGCTGCCAAGGTAATTCCAAAACCAGAATCAATTTTATATATCCTTCAAACCTCTAATTTTCAGAAAACAAGGTGAACTCTCCGTTTTGCTCGCACACTGTTTTGAAATGAACTGATTACTAACAACATTATCATAGCCCGATCTGCATAAAGCTGTGACACACTCTTTCATGTGAAATCCAATCCAGCACAGCCCCACTGGTTTATTTTAGCAATCTGTGAGACATTAATCTTAAATGTGTTGCTGTGCTGCAAGTTCTCCGAGCTTGTCAATTCTCCATCTTCACCTTGTTCAAAACAACA